GTCGGAGATTCACTGACTCATCAGGAGGCTGAGTCGGTGAAACTCTGGCGGAACCGTTTGCACGGCCTCGACGAATCAGTCAAGATCACGCTGCGAGAATCAAGATAAGAAAACTTGATAGCTTTTCATTCTTTGTTCTATCTAGATCACCAATCAAGATCACCAACAAAGATCGCCAATCAAGATCACCAACAAGATCACCAATCAAGATTACAAATCAAGATGTATTCTCACCGGGTCAGGAGAAGTCAACGGGTCGTGATGAACATCTCGGAGTCTTCGAAACTTCTTCTTCAGTAGGCCATATCTAGTGGTGACATTCCTCCACTGCTTCCAACAGTTGATCACAACTATACGAGTCCCATCTTTCTCTCTCGCGGTGTAGGCAAACATAATGCATCGGCCGACGTTATCGTACACGCGAGCAGTGGGAAGCAACCTCTGCAAGAAAAGTCCGTTTGCCAACCTCTGCACAGTCCAGTCCTGATCAAGGAACTCGAACTCATACGGCATCGCGAACAAATCATCTGGCGTAAGTGAAATTCTTTCATCGTATGGAACTCCCTGCTCATGTTCCCCTTCCTGACGAACACCTGCGTTCTCCTGCTCGTCCTCCTCCTCCTCATCTTCTTCTTCACCCTCTTGTTCTTCTTTGTCCACGTCATCTCCGTCAACAGGCTGCTCGAGGAGTCTCCTCTGAGACGACATGCTCGACAGTGTTTGCCCTATGTTGATAGGTGATTCTTCTTGAAGAAGATCCGGCGGTTGCTGGAATTTTTGGCTGCTTCTACCTGGGGTTGCCATCTCCACTCGTTTCCCGTCAAGAGAGACCTTCACTGTACACGCCACGTCAACAAAGCCAGAAGCCGTCGGCCTCAAAGTTGTGTCCACAATAGTGCAGTGGAATTGAGAAGTCCACAGCCATAGAGATGCGGTCTCCAAACACGTATCAGTCTGTCTGCCTAATGGGCTTGACCCCAACCTGACCTGACCGAAACCTGGCCAGGTTGGACAAGACGAAAGGCCTTTCACAAAACCAGACCGATAAAATTATCAGTCCAGTTTTGTGATTGGACTGTCTGCCTGACGGGCCTGACCCCAAATCTGGCTTGACCAAAACTTGGCCAGGTCGGACGAGACGAAAGGCCTTTCACAAAACCAGACCGATAAAATTATCGGTCCGGTTTTGCACTGTGGGACGGGCCTCCCCCAAACCTTGCTAGGTTAGACGGGTTGCACGACCTTTTGCAAAACCGGGCCGAAAAAATTATGGTCTGCTTTTTTGATATAGACAGCCTAAAGGCTTCCCCGAAACCTGGCCGGATTCAATACCCTTTTGTGGAATAAAATGTGAGAATAAACGTTTTAAACCACCAGTACTTTGCCCAGCTATCGATGCCAGGCCTGAATATGCCCTGTGCGTCGTTTTGCGCCGACCCGCTAACGCAACAAAAAAAAATTATTGTAGCTGGCGGTGCCAGCCTTTCAGACCCGGTACCCCAAGCCAGCGCAAGTTGCGGGGCGTTAAGGAGAACGCCCCGCGACCGATGTAAGGGCCAAGTACTGGTGGTTTAATGCGCTTTGGCGAAATCTTGACGCCGCCTGGAGGATCGCGGTCCAGAGGCGCTGGCTGAAAAGGTGGACATCGGGTAGAAAGATGGGAATAAAATTTTGGTTCACTTTAGCGGGATCTTGTCGCGGCCGGTGGGAATCTAAATTTTCAACTGTTTTCGGGCGCCGACCGAAAAGGTGGATATCGATGGGAATAAAATTTTCGGCTCACTTTAGGGGAATCTTGTCGCGGCCGGCGGGAACCTAAATTTTCAACTGTCTTCGGGCGCTGGCCGAAAAGGTGGACATCGGGTAGAAAAGATGGGAATAAAATTTTCGGTTCACTTTAGCGGGATCTTGTCGCGGTAGGCGGGAGTCTAAATTTTTTTCGGCCAGTGCTAACAAGAGTCGACACACCCTGCACGAAAGACCTTTCACAAAACCAGACCGGTTTTGCACTGCGGAGTGTTTGCCTGATGGGCCTCCCCCAAACTGGCTGGGTTATCGGTCTGGTTTTCTGATATGGAAAGCCCGAAGGGCTTCCCCAAAACCCGGCCAGGTTCAATGCCCTTTGGTGGAATAAAAGTTGAGAATAAAATTTTCCACGCGCTCTGGCGAAATCTTATCGCCGCCTGCAGCAACGCTGACGGACTAAGGTCGAAGGGTCGGTGGACGACGCGTGGAACGATGGGCATAAAATTTTCAGTTCGTGCTGGCGAGATCTTGTCGCCGCAGTGAAAAGTAATGTCAGCGCGTATCTAAATTTTCAACTGTCTCCCGCCAAGAGTCCTTGCCAGGGGCCCGAGATGACTTGGCCTGGTCAAGGGTATGCAAACCGGAGTTCCAAGAGTCAAAGCTGAAAATAATATATTTGGACGCAACGAGTGCGAGCGCATAACATTTGCCCTCTGAGAATCTACATTTCCTCAATTCCTCCCTCGGCCAAAGTGAATTTTGAAGCCGACCATCGAAAAGTATACTAGGTCTGTGGCGTCATGAGCTAATGAAAAAGGAGGTAACAGCGATTAATTGAAAAGGCGTGACTCAAATTTTCAACAGACTGTGGCGGAATTTTATTACCGCTTAGAGTAATAAGGTCGGCGGGAGTCCAAATTTTTAACTGTCTGCATTAAATATTTCACTATGGCAATGCGTATTCCCACCTTGCTTTTCGCCAATCTCGTACAGTCCGAAAGGCGGGAGGTGGTTCGAATTTTCAACTGTCTCCCATGAATATCCTGCATTTGAAAACTTTTGGCACCCCGCGCGAGTCCAGATTAGTTACTTTTCACTTTCGACCCCAGTCGACTGCCTTTTGCCTTTTGCCTTTTTTGTTGCAGAGCTATGTACGTTATGAGGGAACCCGGGGAAGGGTCGCCTACCGATCGCCGAATCCAAAGGCAACGACGCCTGTGACTCGCCGCGCCCGTCTCCGAGGTCCTCGGCGATCAGCAGGGTGATGGCCTCAGCACTCACCTGCTGCATGGTCATTATGAGTTTCATGTCTGAAGACTCTCGCTGCCTGTAGGATTATAATAAGATTAATTAATCAGAAATATACGCCGTTCTTCGGGCTCGCCTTTAGCGGTAGGGCCCCGCAACCCCCGTCACTCTCTCTCCGTCTCATCAGCCTCACATATTTTAGGGGTTCAACCGGGCTCAGACGCCCAGTTCACTGTATCAGACTCAAAAGTTCCCAAGCGTTCTTAGGCTTAACCAGGTATCCCCGTACTACTTCAAAAGAAGAGATTAAATAAATTATACTTTAAATGAGTAACAAATAAAAATAAGTTCACTTGAAATGTCCTCTCCCGCTGGCAGCGGGTTGCCTGATTTGCAGCTCACTTGAAATACCCTCCCCCGCTTGCAGCGATTTACCTGATTGGCAGTTCACCTCGAAATGTACTCCCCCGCTGGCAGCGGGTTGCCTGATTGGCGGTTCACTTGAAGTGTACTCTCCCGCTGACCGCKGGTTATCTCATTCGCAGTTCACTAGAAATGTGCTCCCCAGCCAGCTGTGGGTTGGCCAATTGGCAGATCACGAGAGATGTGGTCTACCGCAAGCAGCGGGTTGCCCGACTGACAGATTACTGGAAGTGTGCTCTCCCTCTAGCGGCGGGTTGCCTGCGTGGTGGTTCACTTGAAATGTCCTCTCCCGCTGGCAGTGGATTGCCCGGTTGGCAGATCACTAAAAATGTGCTCCCCCGCTAGCAGCGGGTTACCTGATTGGCAGCTCACTTGAAATGTACTCTCCCGCAGGCAGCAGATTGCCCACTTGGCAGATTACTAAAAATGTGCTCCCCCGCTAACAGCGGGTTACCTGATTGGCAACTCACTTCAGATGTACTCTCCCGCTGGCAGCGGATTGCCCAGTTGGCAGATGACTAAAAATGTGCTCCCCCGCTAGCAGCGGGTTACCTGATTGGCCGCTCACTTGCAATGTACTCTCCCGCTGGCAGCGGGTTGCATGATTAGCAGTTCACTTGAAATGTACTCTCCCGCTGGCAGCGGGTTGCATGATTGGCAGAAATGTACTCCCCCGCTGGCAGCGGATTGCCCAGTTGGCAGATCACTAAAAATGTGCTCCCCCGCTAGCAGCGGGTTACCTGGTTGGCAGCTCACTTGAAATGTACTCACCCACTGGCAGCGGGTTGCCCAGTTGGCAGATCACTAAAAATGTGCTCCCCCGCTAGTAGCGGGTTACCTGATTGGCAGCTCACTTGAAATGTACTCTCCCGCTGGCACCAGGTTGCCTGATTGGCAGTTCACTTGAAATGTACTCTCCCGCTGGCAGCGGGTTGCATGATTGGCAGTTCACTTGAAATGTACTCCCCCGCTGGCAGCGGATTGCCCAGTTGGCCGATCAATAAAAATGTGCTCCCCCGCTAGTAGCGGGTTACCTGATTGGCAGCTCACTTGAAATGTACTCTCCCGCTGGCAGCGGGTTGCCTGATTGGCAGTTCACTTGAAATGTACTCTCGCGCTGGCAGCGGATTGCCCAGTTGGGAGATCACTAAAAATGTGCTCCCCCGCTAGCAGCGCGTTACCTGGTTGGCAGCTCACTTGAAATGTACTCTCCTGCTGGCAGCGGGTTGCCTGATTGGCAACTCACTTGAAATGTACTCTCCCGCTGGCAGCGGGTTGCCTGATTGGCAGTTCACTTGGACCGTGCGTGTCTGCGAACGCGCTGAGCACAACGCACTCACTCCCTCCGAACATGGACACCGGTCAGTTGAACCTCTTGAGGGCTGTGCACGCCTAACACACTCTCTGAAAAAGACTCCCCCCTCTGTTCTCCCTGCCTCTCTCATCGACTTTTCCACGTCTCTCCTCAACGTATCTTACTCTCGGGTTTAGACTCTCGCACACACCGCCATCACAACAGCAGCTGCAGCTCACGAACGGCACAGGTTCTCCAGACACGCCGCACCTCTTACTGCGTGTGGGCGGGGAACGCCTTGCACGTCTCTCCCGCTGATCCACACGAGCATCCCCCCACACCTTGCTCGAGTTGCAAGGTGGGCCGGGTGCGCCTTGCCCGCCTCCTTCAATGCCTCCCCGTCTGAATCCCCCCTAGCTGTTCGGTGACCTTCCCTATATGATTCCAGTACCAGAGGCTGCATCCTCAAGTGAGCACCGTCCCGGCTAACTTTGTCACCCCCAAGCTCTGTACAAGCGGGTCTCGAGGCCTGTTAGCAAGTAGTGGGTGGTACCCGCCCCATAATTTAGAATAGGTACCACCATAATCCGATATACCACGGCAGCAGCTTTGCTGCTATCACATCGGCGTCCAGTGGTAAGATAATGGGGCCAGATTTCATGACGCGGCACTTGTCCCATACCAGCGACCACCGAGTCCAACACTGAACTTGAACCAACCCGTCTTGAGCTGCAGTGACTGGCGCCATTTCATATCCGGACGGATACCGAACCTGAAATCAATACAGCAACACGCATCACACCGACGCGGAGCTGATAATTACGTCGATGTCGTACCTGGGGTTTCCACTCGTTGTCGCTGTGACTCATACCATACCTAGGCCGAACCGGAACCAAGTCTGGGACACGTCGAATATCGAGCTAATGTCGAGCCTGAAAAATGTCGGAGTCGTACCAATACCGAGCCTGAAGTAGGTAAATTACCGTACAACACCGCAATCCCATGATAGTACCGATCCTCAGAATATGTCGACGCGGCCAAACTCGAGCCTAGAATGAGTCAAATGCCGAATGATTATTGAGTCTGAAATA